GGGCCCAGAGGAACAGAAAACACGTCACCCTCAAGGACAGGCCCTCCAGAAGAGAGAAACTGTAAAGGGCTATTCCAGTCCTGAGCAACTCCTCCCAACCAAGCAACTGGGGAAGGAGTGAATATCGGATCAGAGGGACGGAGGGAGGGATGGAAGTTGCCTTTCCATGGAGTAGGGTTCAAGAGTTACTTCCTAGAATAAGCAGGCACTGCAATTCAAGGAGCCTGGAGTGGGTCCCTTTAACTATTACCTTTCTCCCACCTCTTCTTTGTGTCGGGAAGTGCCTCACGGAGAGCTCGGCAGGAATGGAGCAGACGTGGGAATGCCTTCTGGAGGTTCTGTCGTGTCTGCTAAGTTCTCGGACTGGGCGAGCGTGGCCTGTATTCCTGACAGTCACAGGACTGTACTTAAAATCACAGCCACCACTACACGTGCTCTCTCTCTTCTCCCGCCTTGATTTTAATCCTTTCCACTTTCACCATCTGACATACTCTATATATTTGTATTAATTTTTATCGGAGTATAGTTGCTTTACAACGTTGTGCTGGTTTCTGCTGTACAGCAAAGTGAATCAGCTATACGTGTACATATATTCCCTCTTTTATTGGATTTCCTTCCCATTTAGGTCACCACAGAGCACTGAGTAGAGTTCCCTGTGCTGTAAAGTAGGTTCTCATTAGCTCTCTTTTATACGTAGTAGCCATAGTGTGTGACATACACTATAGTTTAGACTTCAGTTTATTTTGACTGTCTCCATCTAGCTTGCACACATCACGATGGCAAGGATTTTCATCCATTTTGTTCTTAGCCGCGTCCCCAGAGCCTTGAACGGTGCCTGACACATAGTAGGAAGTCAGTGAGTAGACGTTGAAGAAATGAGTCAGACGCAGCCTCCAGCCCCACGTGAGTCAAGGCGGGACTGGTTCCACTGGGTCGCTGAGAGGTCCCATTACTGGAACTCATAACTCCTTGCCAGGATGTGCAGACTTATTTGCAAAGAGACCTGAATGTGGAGATACTCACTCCATGGGTATCGGAAGTGGAATCTCCCTTGAAAGTTAAAGAAGACCTATTTTCTCCCTCTGGCCCCTGAGAGTCTGGCCTCAACCCCAACCTGCTCTTCCCCAAAAGTAGACTCTCCAGTTCCTACTGTTTATCTCACAATGAGGCGCAGCAATCTACACGTCGTAGGTGTCCAGGTAATACAGTAGATTGGAATTAAATCACTGCCTGGGGCTCCCAGAATACACTTCTCACATTGTCCCTGCTTGGCAGCAAGAGTTGGGGACACTAAGCACCCTATATCAATACACGTAGAACTGTTTAATTTTCTTATTTATTGAGGTAAAATTAACATATAACATTATATTAGTTTCAGGGGTACAACATAATGATTCAGTGTTCGTATATATTGCGAAATGGTCACCACAGTAGGTCTAGTTAACGTCTGTCACCATACAGTTACAAAAACTGTCTTACTTGTGATGAGAACTTTCAGGTTCCACTCTCTTAGCAACTTTCAGATAGGTAATACAGTATTATTAACTACAGTTACCATGCTGTATATTAGATCCCCATGACTTATTTATTTTTTTTGCGGTACGCGGACCTCTCACTGTTGTGGCCTCTCCCGTTGCAGTGCGCAGGCTCCGGGCGCGCAGGCTCAGCGGCCATGGCTCACGGGCCCAGCCGCTCCGCGGCACGTGGGATCTTCCCGAACCGGGGCACGAACCCGTGTCCCCTGCATCGGCAGGCGGACTCTCAACCACTGTGCCACCAGGGAAGCCCACTTATTTATTTTAAAACTGAAAATCTGTACCTTTTAACATTTATTTTATTGACGTCTAGGTGATTTACAACGTTGTGTCAATTTCTGCTGTACAGCAAAGTGATTCAGTTTTACATACATATATATATATATTCTTTTCCATTATGGTTTATCAGAGGATATTGAATATAGTTCCCTGTGCTGTACAGTAGGACCTTGTTGTTTATCCGTTCTAATATATAACAGTTTGCATCTGCTAATCCCGAACTCCCAATCCATCCCCCACCCAACCTTCCCCTTGGCAACCACAAGTATGTTCTCTAGGTCTACGAGTCTGTTTCTGTTTCATGGATAGGTCCGTTTATGTCATGTTTTAGATTCCACATATAAGTGATATCATGTGGTCTTTCTGTCTTACTTCACTTAGTATGATAATCTCTAGTTCCATCCATGTTGCTATTTCATTTCTTTTTTTATGGCCGATTAGTATTCCACTGTATATATGCAGCACATCTTCTTTATCCATTTCTCTGTCAATGGACACTTAGGTTGCTTCCACGTCTTGGCTATTGTGAATAGTGCTGTTTCGAACATAGGAGTGCATGTATAGTTTTGTCTAGCTATACGTCCAGGAGTGGGATTGCTGGATCATAGGGTAACTCTATTTTTAGATATGGTAACTCTATTTTTAGTTTTTTGAGGAACCTCCATACTGTTTTCCATAGCGGCTGTATCAATTTACATTCCCACCAACAGTGTAGGAGGGTTCCCTTTTGTCCACCCTCTCCAGCATTTCTTACTTGTAGACTTTTTAATGATGGCCGTTCTGACCAGTGTGAGGTGGCACCCCATTGGAGTTTTGATTTGCATTTCTCTAGTAATTAGCGACGATGAGCATCTTTTTATGTACCTGTTGGCCATCTGTGTGTCTTCTTTGGGAAAATGTCTATACAGATCCTCTGCTTATTTTACAATCAAATTATTTGCGTTTTTTGCTATTGGGTTGTATGAATTCTTTATATATTTTGGATATTCTTCCCTTATCAGATAGGTGATTTGCAAATACTTTCTCTCATTCAGTATAGTGCCTTATTATTATTATTATTATTTTTTTGCGGTACACGGGCCCCTCACTGTTGTGGCCTCTCCCGCTGCAGAGCACAGGCTCCAGACGTGCAGGCTCAGCGGCCATGGCTCACGGGCCCAGCCGCTCCGCGGCATGTGGGATCTTCCCGGACCGGGGCACAAACCCGCATCCCCTGCATCGGCAGGCGGACTCTCAACCACTGCGCCACCAGGGAAGCCCGTATGGTGCCTTATTTTGTGGATGATTTTCTTTGCTGGGCAAAAGCTTTTTAGTTTGATATAATCCCACTTGTTGGTTTGTGCTTTTATTGCCTTTGCGTTTGTGTCAAATGCAAAAAAACAAACAAACAAAAAAGAACACTAATGTCACAGAGCTTACTGCCTGTATTTCCTTCTAGGAGTTTTATGGCTTCAGGTCTTGCAGTCAAGTTTTTAATCCCTTTGGGTTAATTTTGTGAGTGGTATTTTGTGAGTGGCATAAGATAGCGTTTCGTTCTTTTCCATGTGGCTGGCCAGTTTTCCCAACACCACTTTTTGAAGAGACTGTTCTTTCCCTCATTGTATATGCTAGGCTCCTTTGTCATAAGTTAATTGACCATGTATGTGTGGGGTTACTCCTGGACTCTCGATTCTGTTCCATTGGTCTGTGTGGCTGTTTTTTATTCCAGTGCCACACGAAATGAAATCAGGGAGCATGATGCCTCTAGCTTTGTTCTTTCTTGATTACTTTGGCTAATAGGATATCTGTGGTTCCATACAAATTTTAGGAGTGTTTGTTTGTTCTATTTCTGTGAAGAATGCCATTGGAATTTCGATTGATAGGGAATTGCTTTGAGTAATATGGACAGTTTAATTCTTCCAATCCATGAGCATGGAGTGTCTTTTCATTTATTTGTGTATTCTTTGAGTTCTTTCATCAGTGTCTTATAACAGTGTACAGGCAGGCGTTTTGCCCCTTGGTTAACTTTATTCCTAGGTATTATTTTATTCTTTTCTTGATGCAATTCAGATTTTATATACTGATTGTGTATCCTGCAGCTTTTACTGAATTTATTTATTCCAACAGATTTTTGGGTGAAGTTTTTAGGGTTTTCTCCACGTAATATGATGTCATATACAAATAATGACAGTTTAACTTCTGCCTTTCTAATTTGGATGCCTTTTTTTTCCTTGCCTAATTGCTCTGGATAAGAAGACTTCCGATACTATATTGAATACAGTGGCATCCTTTGTCTTGTTCCTGATCTTAGAGGAGAAACTGTCAGCTTTTTACCATTGCGTGTGATGTTAGCTGTGGGCTTTTAGTATGTTTGTTGAGGTATGGTCCCTCTATACCCACGTCCTTGAAGTTTTTCTGCATCTATTCAGATGACAATACGGCTTGTTCTTTTCATTTTGTTAATGTGGTATTTCACATTGATTGATTTGCCAATGTGAACCATCCTTGCATTCCCTAGAATAAATCCCACTTAATTATGGTGTATGAGCCTTTTAATGTACTGTTGAATTCGGTTTGCTAATATTTTGTTTGTTGAGGATTCTTGCATTTATGTTTAGAGGAGACATTGGCTTGTAATTGGCTTTTCTTGCAGTGTCCCTAGCTGGTTTTGGTATCAGGGTACTGCTGGCCTTGTAAAATGACTTCGGAGTGTCCCCTCCCCGTTATTTTTTGGAAGAGTTTGCAAAGAATTGGTATTAACTGTTCTTTGAATGTTTGTTTAGCAGAATTCACCAGTGAAGCCGAGTGAGCCTGGACTTTTGTTTGGTGGGAGGTTTTTGATTCCTGATTCAATCTCCTTACTGGGAATTGGCCCGTTCAGATTTTATTTGTTCATTATTCGTCTTTTAATTTGTGGAACACAAATATTGAGCATAAAGTTGCTGTTCTCACTAACTAACTAACTTGGTTAAGTACCCCCTGCCTAGCCTAGGGTGAAATGTATGTTTTCAGGTGTATCGGTGGGTAGTAGAAAAAAAGCATCACCGTTTCTCAGGGCAGGCTAGAGTGTTGTTTTTTGGTTTATTTTGCGGTACGCGGGCCTCTCCCGTTGCGGAGCACAGGCTCCAGACGCGCTGGCTCACGGGCCCAGCCGCTCCACGGCATGTGGGATCCTCCCGGACCACTGCGCCACCAGGGAAGCCCCAAGGCTGGAGTTTTGATGACTGTGCCGAGGAGCCTCAGCGTGCTGCACCACCTGGCCACCGCACCTGCCAGTTTCTTTCTCTGGCACCATGAGTCTGTCCCTTGGGGACGCCTTCAGTCCCAGGAACTGTGTTTCTAACCAGTGTGTCTGTTCTCCAGCTATGACCACGAGGGCCGCCTAACCAATGTGACACGCCCCACGGGGGTGGTGACCAGCCTACACCGGGAAATGGAGAAGTCCATCACCATTGACATTGAGAACTCCAACCGTGATGACGATGTCACTGTCATTACCAACCTGTCTTCTGTGGAGGCCTCCTACACAGTGGTGCAAGGTAAGCCCCTCACCTACCACCACCCCTCACCGCCAGACTCAGCCAAGGCCAGAGGATAGGTGTGAGTTACCAAGCCTGGGAGGACTTCCAGAGACCTCCCACCCCTCAGCTTGCTGTTTTAGTCCATAGCTAGCAAACTAACTCTGCAAGAGGTCAATCTTGTAGAAAAGGACTTAATCAGATGCAGGAGAATGTCATCTATACCAAACCAAATATTTGGAAATGTCTACGTATTTATATTTATGTGAAAATGCCAGCTTTCATCCCTCTGTACTCTGCCCCCACCTCTCCATCACCAACCCAACACACACAGTTACCTTCTCAAAGGTGGTTTTAGTCTCTTGAGCCCACCTGATTTTTTGGTCCCATTCTGAGTCTCCCTTTCTTCCAAGGGTTTGTGTGATGAGTGGGTTGTTACAGTCACAGAGCCCTTTAGCGGTCTCTTGCCAAGACCTCAAAGGTTTCTCACCACCTCGTGGGTGGTTGCTCTTGCTGTTCGACATGACGTACAGTCCAGGACAAGTGCACAGGCTGGCAAGAAAAGGAATTGTGCAGGTAATGAAGATATAATGTCCGTGGGCTAGCCGAGGATAAACGTGTCCTGGCGCTAGATAAACGGTGTCATTGCTGGACTGTTTATCCCCCGACAGAGCCTGTTTCCATGCCTCTATTTCTGCTCTGCCAGATGATTAACGATGTAGACTTTGTCTTTCTGCACGAGGGCTGCAGTCGTGACAGGTGCACACTTGCGCACTACCCCAAAAGCCAGGGCCTCAGAGGCCAGGTGGACTCCTCTGCCCAGGTAGCCAGGAAGCATCGTATCTATAAAAGGAGCCTCCGACTCACATTTCCCACTGGAACTTCTCGATAAAGGAAAAGGTCAGAAGTCTGACTGATTGATTGACTAGTGTAGATTCCATTTGGGAAGACACACACGTTATCAGCACCCCCTGGCTCGGCCTCCTTCATGCTAGTTGAGTCTCTTCGGAGTCCTCTGGAGTGGAGATGGCATCATGGTGGAGTCAGTCAGCAGCTAACGCATGAGGGGCAGGAAGGTTGCTTTTTCTCTTTGTTTTCTCAAAGAATCTTTGCAGTGGAGCTGACCTATGGTAGACCATCAGCCTCAGGTTAGATGGTAGGCGAAAGGAGAAGACAAATTCTTTTAAGTAGGTTTCCTTTATTTTGTTCCATTTAAGCTAAAATATATATGTTAAAGATCGGGGATGTGATGGACACGAATTGTGTAGGCAAAAAATGTACTCTTCAGTGAGTAAAAGAAAACTGTCCCAGCATAATTATTTCTGGAGTGCCACATATTAATAATGTTTTTCTTTCTGTGGATCAGTGGCATCTCTGCTACTCACCTTAACATTGCGTGTGTGCTAATTGAAGGCAGCCTTACACTGGCAGCTGCAAAGTACCATGGAAACCTATAAAAATAGGGGTTCTGTTCTCTCGTGACTAACACAGTGGATAATTTATTTCCCTCTCCCCGCCCCCACTTACATTTCTCCAGATCAAGTACGGAACAGCTACCAGCTCTGCAACAACGGTACCCTGCGGGTGATGTACGCCAACGGGATGGGCGTCAGCTTCCACAGCGAGCCCCACGTCCTAGCGGGCACCATCACCCCCACCATCGGGCGCTGCAACATCTCGCTGCCCATGGAGAATGGCCTGAACTCCATCGAGTGGCGCCTAAGAAAGGAACAGATTAAAGGCAAAGTTACCATCTTTGGCAGGAAGCTCCGGGTAAGTCGTTCCACCCAACTTGTCCCCCACAACGTGGTACGGGACGCCCCCTTTCCTCCAGAGCTGAGGCCATCTCCCAGTTCCCAAGCCTCCACTGCGCCTTTCTCTCTTCCCTGAGAGAGACACGTGAGCCACATCCTGCTGGACCTCGGAGAAAACGTTCTGCATTTCCCAGGACTAGAAAAGCTGGGGATTTACCTTAAGCTATAAGCAGAGATCCCGCGGGTCTTCTTTTCACACTCGCTATCATCTTCTCTGTCAACTTCCACTGTGTGCCCATGGCTACTGTGTGGTTTCGGTGTGCTAAATACTGAGTTTTATAACGGGCTCTTTACGCTCAAGGAGTGGACAGTCCGGTAGAATGTATAAACCTCAGGATAATCCATATCCGATGGGTTAAGTGAGTAGAGAGGTGAGTAGAGAGAGGAACAGCCAGGGCTTCGTGGGAATCACAGCGGAGGCGCTGCTACCCAGCCTGCAGGCATCAGGGAAGGCTTCCGAAGAGGAAGTAACAAGCAAACTGCAGCAGGAAGTTTTAACCAACTCTAGCTTCCCCAGACTAGGTAACGTACCCACAAGTTACAGCTTTAAAAACCAATATATAACATTTCAATACATAACATTTATCGAGGATAACATTTCAATACATAACATTTATCGAGGACTTTTGTGATGAGAGCACGACGTTAAATGCTTTACTTGTATTATCCTAGAGTCTGCCTGCCGATGCAGGGGACACGGGTTCGTGAAGATCCCACGTGCCGCGGAGCGGCTGGGCCCGTGAGCCATGGCCGCTGAGCCTGTGCTCCGTGACGGGAGAGGCCTGCGTACCGCAAAAAACAACAAACAACCCTGTGGGAGTAGGTGTTATTATCTCCCTTTTTCAGATGAGGAAACAGAGGCTCTGGGACGCTAAATAACCGGTCCAAGGGTACAGCGTCTAGCAAACAAACAGCAAAGCCAGGACTCAGCCCCAGTTCTCTCTGTCTGTCTCACTTGCCCTCAGGATTCTTAACCAGCAGGCCTCACAGCTTCCTGATTAGAGCAACAGTCATCCAGATAATCTGGTTCCTGCTCTGTTCACTTACGTGGCATCAAGAGGGACTGGTTCTTACCGTCAGGCTCTCCCTCCAACTGGGTAGAATCCTCGGGATCTCGGTCCTCGTCAGCACCTACTTACTGAACACCTAACTAGGAGTCAGGCACTGTGCTATGAGCTGGAGCTACATGGCACAACAGGGGCCGCAGATAGATAAGAAGTCAACTAACAAACAGATAAAATCACTGCAGAGTGAGACACTCACCAGGAAGACGGTAAACCGCGCAATACGGCAGGGTTTAACACACGCTTTGCTTTGCTTTGGAGTTCCTGAGATTAGAAGGCTCACGCTCAACAAAACCTGGGTCATAACTTCTGCCGTGTTCTTGGATTGAAATCCAGCCAGCCCAGGCGGCCTCCCTGCAGAGCCAGGCCACTCCATGTTACGATTCCGCCCTCACCTTTGTCTGGTTGGAGTTTAATTCTCCACATTAGGTTATCAGCAGCCTCCCATGTTTTTCTTCCTCTGCTGGTATCTGCAAAGTTGGTATCTGCAAAGTTGCAAGCTGCAGTATCTTCCTAAAGACAAAAATGAAATGAGATTAGTAGCTAAATCCTTAATGACTGGATTTCAGGGCTGTGTAATTGATTTTTGATACACTGCACCATAGAAGTTTGATTAGAAATAGTAATCGTGCCTTTTCTCGGATAAATCGGTGATGAAGTTTGATTAGAAATAGTAATCGTGCCTTTTCTCGGATAAATCGGTGATGCATTTTGACTAAAAGTTTTCAAAATAAAGATAAATGCAGCCCTAAAATAAAATGGCTATAATTCCCAACTCTGAATATTAAAAATCGTAATAATGGTACTCATGGTAATTAGCAGAAGTTAGGCACGCAAGTCTCATAACTGAGTTTCTGCCAGGGTTAGATTTGCTGGCATCATGTTTATGCAAATCGAAACACAGCTTTATCTATCAACACCTCAACATTTAATTGTCTGGTGTTAGTTCCTGTAACAATAATCACATATCCATTTAGCTCTCTTAAATGAAAATCACTACGAGATTATAACAGGTTGAGTGGACTGAAAATGTAATTTGAAAATGAGGGAGAAAGCCTGGAATTTATTTGCATCTCATTTATTTTAATTCAATTCATAAATCGTTTAGTGAATGAAATAAAAGCAACTCCTGGAAATTGCCAGGGAGCAGGTGGGAGAAGGTAGAGAGGGAAAGTAGAGTGTCACATGTGAGCCGTGTGACGTGAGCTATCCCAGAGGCCAGGATTTCAAGGGAAGGGGTATGTCATTGTATCAGTCAGGGGAGGGTGGGGTGGGTGTGATCGGTTAACAAATGTGAACAAATAAGCCCTGAACTCAGGGCTTAATGAGCAGGGCTAGACATGGCAGGCATCACTGCCATCCTTCCTGGTGAGAACACAGTGGGGTGACTTCAACTTAACTGCCAGGAAGCCCAGGAAATGGTGTCTTTCTGCATGCCTAAGAAGACCATGAAAGGAGATTTGGTGACCACGTAGCAGGGTCCCTGCCATCCCGATCAGGGCTGAGGGTTGCTTCACAGAAGAGTTGGAATCAGTTCTACAGAGCAGTAGGAATTAGCCAGGCAGAGATGTCAGCAAGGGGTGATCAGACAGAGTGTCGCCTGTAAAAAGGCAGAGAGGTCCAAAAGAAAAGGAATGTCATTTCAGAAAACTAACTCAGCGTGGCCAGAGAGTTGGTTAGGGTGGGAAGGGAATGGAAGGGCATATTTTGCTAGGCTGGCATTTATCCTGAGGACAGTGGCAGGGCTGTTCCAGGGTTTGGTTAGCAGAGCGACGTGTTGGGATTTGTCGCATTAGAGAAAGACCTCTCAGGCTTCCTCGGGTGCAGAGGAAGATAGATCAGACGGGGACAGGATAGGAGGAGAGGGGTAATCCAAACAAGAAACGAAATCGTTAGCAGAGAAGACAGAGGGACATCTGAGAGCTACTTGGCACACACAGTTAACGGGACTTGGCAGCCAGCAGGGTTGCTGGGTCATGCTCACCTTTTAAGGGGCCCCTTCCACGATCATGTAGACTGGGAAGCCGAGAAGCCCTCCAGACTTCAGGGGCTGGCCTGCCAGGCTCTGTGGAGGGAAGAGGCAGGGAACTGAACCCCAAGACAGAGATGTGAGATTCTGACCGCCCCAGTGCTGCCACTTGCAACGGGGAAGAAACTGATTGAACTTGCAGGTGCTGCCACTGAACCAGCACCACGTAATTGTTGCTCCCCACCCCCACCCCCACCCCCGTGGATAACAAGGGGTTTGGAGAGCATCTCTGGTGTGGTAACTGAAGGTCTCGTGCAGTGAGGCAAATCGCCTGACCTTTCCCAGGGACTGGCAAGCTCCCGGCAGCCTGGCCAGCTGAGTGCCGTGAGGGCTCAAGGCTCTGAGCATCCCTGGAGTTTACCGAGAATCTCGGTGAAGATATTACCATAGAACAGTACCCAGTGAAACTAGGTACCCCTTCTTCCAGCATTCCAGCCAAGGGCACCTCTCAGGTGAGGAACGCGTCAGCAGCTCTTACATAAAGGCTGGTGAAATGTAAACTGGTGGATGGATGGACCGTGGCCACCCGCTTCCACCAAAATCTTTATGGCTTTGTTGCTTTGGCAAAATCTCAAGTGGTTGTCCGTGCCCAAACTCAAAGTAGGGGAGGTCTTCATTATGCCTCCCAAGGATTTCTCCAGGAATCTCACTTGAAAGAGCCCTCCTCCCTCAGGCCCTCACCACCCAGCACTGTTTCCTGTTTCCTCTGGCCTTCAAAAAACACACAAAGCTGTTACATCAGGGTACCTGTAAGCTCCGTAAGCACGAGGACCATCTCACTGCCGTATCCCTGGTGACAAGTGCCATGGGATGGGCATTCAGCCAGTGGGTGACACAGGAAGGTATGATGACCATGCCCCCTTCTAAGGCGCCTTCTTGGAACATGTTTAGTGCATAAATGCCTCCGTATCTGTCAGGGATCTTTCCACTGCAAGAGAGAGACAGGAAGTGCACTCAAATTAGCTCAATTAAAAAGGGCATGTGTTGTCTTGCCTCGCGGGCCCCTACCAGAGAGGAGCTAGCCTTAGCGACTTCACCAGCTCAAATGATATCATCAGGTTGACATCCTTCTCTCGGCCCCCTTCCATCTCTTAGCAGTGTTTCCCTTGACACTTAGCCTAATTTACCCCTACATTCGACTGGTGACCTCTTCACCCTGGGAGTCAGGCAGACTTGGCTAAAGATGACTCCAGGCTGATATACCAGTTCAGCTTAGTGACCCAGGGGGAAGAGGAAGCAATCTTTTACAGAATTAAAATCTAAAATCCCTTGGAAGAGCTCTGAATGGCCTGCCACAGATGGAATGGCAGTCACACCCCGGGGCCAACCACTGGTCAGGCAGGTGGGGGTCTGTGATTGGCTGGGTCACACGTGGACACGTGTCTCGTGTGACGGACATCTCAGTAAAAACTCCTAGATGGGGAAACCTTAGAGAAAGGGGGTGCTACACCCACAGAAGGAAGAGATGGTTAAATCACACTCATACACACCCAGGTATATTCTTCATCCTCCCTCCCTCCAAAGCCTAATCATAAAGCAAACTTCTGGTCCTGAGGACCTCTTAATGCATTAATACACCTCCCCTCCAGCAAGACATTTTTCTAGACTTTTGGAAGAGAGAACTGAAACCACCTCCTCCTGTTAAGATTTAAAACTTCTGCTCTTTCCTAAGATGGGTTTAGTGCATGACTCTCTGATAAGGAAGGCACATAACCACCCTCTAGGATATTTCCTCCTGATTATGATTTACACAGAGATTGCAAAAGCAAGAAACAGCTACATGTGTAGGTAGCAGAACAATTACACGTTGGCTTGTGTTACTTTTACTTTTGTGGCAAATGACAGTGACGCAGGAACAAGGTGGGAGGCGGGTATGCATGTGTGCCTGTGAACACACGCACGTGAACTCAGTTCTGCATGGAACCCACTCAGGTAGGTCTGTTAACGTATGCAGTCATCACAAGAGCCTGAATTTCATCAGCCCTTCCTGCCACAGTGCATTCATTCTACACCAACCAACGTTTTATTTTTTTAAACACCTATTACGTTCCTGGCACTGTTCGAGGCACTGAGTGTATGTTAGTGAACAGACAAGACACTGAATTCTGAGCAGTGCTTGTGCAGGCAGAACTTGCTATAAACGTAATATTAGCTTAAATAATATATAATTGGAAGGGTAAGCCTCTGCAAAATATATTCAACAATGTATCCCCCGAGCAAACATTACTTTCGGATGACTTGCTTGCTGTTTTGATTGGTGCGATGGAAAAATGCAAAGACCCTCGTGGAGCTTTATGCTGTAGCAAGGGGAAACAGATAATAATCAAATAAGTTACAAATAGTATAAAGAAATGGTGATGGGTGCTGTGGGGGAAAAAAACGGTTGAAATAACAGGGAGTGTCTGATTTAGGTTAAGGCCACTCTAGGAAGATGACATTTGGGCTGAGAACTGAATGAAGAGTAGGAAATTTTCAGGAATGGAATGGCAAGAAAGCCTTCTGTGCTAAGGTACCAGCATGCGCAAAGGCCCTGAGGCAGAACATGAGCCAGTGTAGCTGGAGCAGACTAGCTGGGGAGGTGGTGAGGTCAAAGGATTGGGGCCTGACTGGTGCTGCTAAGGATCT